GGGAGGGAGGGAGGGAGGGAGGGAGGGAGGGAGGGAGGGGAAGAGAGAGAAAGAGAGAAGGATTTGAATACTGAAAATGCTTAGCCTGGTGCATTATTTTAAAAGAAAAACTGAAAACGACAAAAAACCCACATTTATGCTAAGTACACAGCAAAATCTTGCCTTTGGGGTTCTTATTGGTAGAAAATATTAACAAATAATTTAAAAATAAATTCTTAAGCCAAGCATGACTGGAACTGAAGTGAGATTCAGAGGTGTTGTTCTGACCTGCAGCCCATGCCTATCTCCCGCTAAAGGGGGATGGTGCGTGCTCTACCTACCATGCCCACCACCCGGAGCACCTTCCACACCCACACAAGTGCTCCTGCCCTAGCCACTGCTAAAATGAATGGAAGAAGGAATATCTGCTCAAGTGAAATAAATCTATTTTGTGTAGAATTTGATACATGAGTCCAAGACTCCCTTTGCCAGGCTGGGGTTGGGGGAGAGATTTGACATGTGAGTAAAAGGGCAGATGTGGGAGGGGCTGTGAACTGGAGAGCTGACTGAAGGCCCAGGCAGGAATCTGGAAAGCACCAGGCAGAAAGAAAGGCTGGACTTGCACTCAGTTCTAAGCAATACTAACGGCTTTGGGGTAGCACTGTCTCCGCTTGGTGGAGCCTGGTCTTCCAGGAACACTCGTTTCTTCCTCATCATGCAAATCGAGCTCTTCTTCATACTTAACAGTCTCTTTCCCAACTGGCATTAAATGTTCATCCAGCTCGCCTAACAAACATAGAATGACAATTAACATAAACAACCCTATTTTGCCTCTCAGATTAGTAAGTACTCTACAGAGCATCAAGTTACGATGCAAGCTACAGCACCTCTGCCTGCAACACTGCAAACACATTCACAATGCAACACCACACACTCTTCTCTGGCATTCATACTGTCAATAGGAGCAAGAATGCAATTTTTTTTCTTCTTTTTGTCAGTCATGGGGCTTGAACTCAGGGCTTGAGTACTGTCTTTTTGCTCAACACTGGTGCTCTGCCACTTTGAACCACAGCACCAATTCCAGTTTTCTGGTGGTTAATTGGAGTCTCACAGACTTTCCTGCCTGAGCTGGCTTCAAACCACGATCCTTAAATCTTAGCCTCCTGAGTAGCTAGATTATAAGCGCGAGCTACCAGTGCCCAGTGGAATGCAAATTCTAAGATTCAAAAATTAAAAAAAAAAAAAACAACTCGAGAACATATCAGCATACATCCCTTCTAAACAGGAGGTCAGAAAAAAAAGGCTCATACATACACACACACACACACACACACACACACACACACACACACACACACAATACACACACGTGCACTATTAGAGCCTAACCTGACAAATACACTGAAGGGAAATGGAAATATTTAAGACCTGACCCAACAGTTATACAGTAATAACAGCAGTTCCCAGGTCCACAAAACCCCTCAGAACCTGGGAAGTCCTTGAGATACTTTTTGTTTTACATTTCCAATTTAGTTCTATCACAAATGTTTCCCAAACCTATTTACTTACCAATTTTGTGAAGTTTTTCACAGCAGATCAGAGCCACAACTCTTTCAGCCAATCGTACGCAGCTCATTGGTGGGCCCTGAAAACAACAAAGCCTTCCATCACATACCTGCAGCTTATGACCACAGCATGCACTCTCTGAGCCTCTACTTCTGAGTTTTTAAAGCTCAATTTACTAAGACCAAGATTCTGATTTTGAAAAATGACAGCAGCAAAGGGTTTTAAAAAGCCTAACTTCCATATCTGAAATAGTGGTGGTGCTAGGGTGGAAGTCAGGTTTCAAACCTGCTAGGTAAGTGTTCAATCAATGAGCTATATCCTCAGCCCTGAGATACCAGCTTTAAAAATCCTGCCCAGAAGCTGGGCACCAGTGGCTCATGCTGCTGAAATCTAAAGATCAAGGTTCAAAACCAGTCCAGGCAAGAAAGTCATGAGAATCTTATCTCTAATTAACCACCAAAAAGATAAAGTGAAGCTATGGCTCAATGGGAGAGCATTAGCCTTGAGCAAAAGAAGTGCAGGGATAGTGTGCCCAGGCCCTGAGCTCAAGCCACAGGTCCAGCATACACACACAAAAATCCAGCCCAGTAAAGAACTAAACTATAAACAAGAGTTTACAATTTTGATAAATATTTCAGTACGATTTTAAAGAATTTTTTTCTCATGAATCCACAGACATGCAACAAAAGATGATGCTACACTGCTATGTAATTATAACTCAGACTCAAGTACTGAGCAGCTTTCTATGAACAGAAACTGCTCATCTACAGAACCTGCAGGTTGGTACTGGGATCAAAGAAAGGATAAGAGCTACAAAAAGAATGTTATTTGAGTTGTCAGTAACACAGTGAGAACAGTTCAACTACATGTAATGATTTTATGTCACTGTATGTGTTACAGCCACAACTCAGTAAGGGAAGGTCAGCGGTCATTCAGCCCCATTCCAAGAGGGGGACAACTATATAGTTCATTAAAAATCTGAACATGTAGCTGATTACAAGATAAAAATCTAGTTTTCAAAGTGGATGTCACAATCAATTTTATAACTTGCATGTACTAGAAAAATGAGAACAAGCTAGAAGTGACAAACTAAGACGCACAACCTTTCTTTTCCACACTTACAACAATGGAGGCGCGAAGGGGCGAGTTAATGGGCAGATAAAGGGTTGAGCAGAATGTACCATCGAGCAACTCCTGGGTTCTACATTTGGGAGCTAGGTGAGTGAATGGATCACTTGGTAGTCTAGCACAGTATCTATGAAGAAAAAAAAGAAAAATATGGGATCCAAGTGAAGGAAGGAGAGACAGTGTCCAAAAAAAATAACTGTACTCATTACTTGACGATTGAAATGGTAACCCCTTTGTACAACACCTTAATAATCATATATACACACACATATATATACATATACACATATATATATAGAATAGTCATCAGTTAGGTAAGAACCACCAATGGCTACATGGCCAGCGAGTCACCCTGGGAAACCATAAATCTTACACAGTCCCAGTCTTTGCTTAAAGCGTAAGGAAATGGTCACTTCACAACAGCAAATTTTTGGACCTCACTCAAGTGACATGTAAGGGCATAAGTCCCACAGTAAGACAGGATAAGAACACAGCATCACTCAGCCAGGTAATGGCCCAAACTATACAACCTGGACTTACATAATGTGGACAACATCCTATAGACTCCAGTGGAGAGGCAGACTACAAAATAACTACACCACAGCCAAGTTTCAAGTCAGAGCCAAATGAGTCTGGTGATTCATTCTTGTGAACTTGGCACTCAGGAGGAGGTAGGAAGATCACAAGTTTGAGGCCAGCTTGGTCCACATAGCAAGATTCCATCTCAAAATAACCAATTAAAACAAACAATTAAAAAAAAAAACTTTCAAGGTCAAGGCTGAAGAGTGGCTCCTGGCTAAAGGAAACCAGGGAGATGGAAAGCAGGGAGCCCTGGTTTTAGATTGGCTGCACTGGCTACAAAGAATGTGCCTGTGAAAGCTGAATGGCAACTCTGGGTAAGGGGAGACAAGGTTAAAGAAAATCCATGAGTTTGCCCATGAATGAAATCCATCCTGATAGGTAAACTAAATAGGTAAACGTATTTTCTTATGTCTGAGAAATGTTACGTTAGAACAAAATAAATTAGAACATAATCAAAAATACAAATTAATTTATAATAAAAGATTATTTCTAATAAAAGATCAAAAGTTCATTTGCTAATGAAAATTGTAGTATTATCTAAATTTTATGGAGCAAATAAAAAAACTAACATTTGGGGGGGGAAATCAGAAAAAAAGTTATTTATAAAAATAACTCTAAAAGGAGGAGGAGTACATTGTGTCAGCTTTGTCAGTACTGACAAAGTACTGTACGTACTGAACACTGGCTATACACAAAGGCTGTGTTTCATGAAAAATGCCACTTTTCTTTCATCAAAATACTGTGAGCCATAAATGAAAAGACTGGTGACAGTGTAATGTAAGCAACACTGACAAATTTTGCAATACCAGTATTTCCACACCAATTCCAGCTACCTTACCTATTGATATGCCCAATGGCTGTATTGATTGTGACCCTCGGGCCCCCATCGTCAGGCCTCAGTACATATGGTGGGAAAATGTCATCATCATCCACAATGGGGTCCACGTCATTCTCGCCAGTATCCACTGACTTGGAACACTTGTTTCTCAAAATCTGGAAGTGTGAAAACAGAACTTTGGATGAGAATAAATCCCTGCTTTGCCATACATTAGCTGTACCTATAAAAAAATCTCTTTCAGCTAGGGGTGGTGGTGCACACCTGTAATCTCAGCACTGGGAAGACTGAGGCAGGAGGATGGTAAGTTCAAGTCTACATGGTGAGACCAGCCCCCCAAAAATGAAGGTTCTTTTGATATGACATATCAACCTCTCCTGAACACACTTTTGGAACTCCAAAGTCACCTGCTGCAGAAAACTGCAACCACAGAATCCTCCCAGCTCCCATCATGTGGAGACACCTCCCATACAGTCCAAGGTCTACAACGCCCTGCACACACACACGCACACATCCCCCTCAAGTATAACAACGTCACCATACTCCCTCTACAATACAATCCCACCAACAGACACTCTACTGTCCACACTTGAGGGTCCCTTCCCCAGCAATTTCTGTGCACTAGTGTACCAATGGTGCAAGCACTTTGCTAACTGGTGCTGGGCTCTGTGACATACTTCAGTGTCCTGATAAAAGTCTGTGATGCACACTTGTTGGGATTCCTTTGTAGGGAAAGTGCTCCTATCTATTTCCGTGCACACAAACAACAATGAAGATCTTACCTTTTCAATTGCTTTGTAGGTTTTCAGGTCTTCTTCAAAACTTTTGATTTTGTCTGTGTCTGCTAACATTATGTAATTAGAGATTGGGGCCCTTGCCCTTCCTTTAGACTGAACATAGGATCGATACTCTGTAGGCAAATCAAAACGAACCACCAAGTTGCATTTTGGTATATCAACACCCTCTTCTACAATACTTGTTGCAATAAGCAGGTTGGTCTCATGTGCTCGAAACTTCCTAAGTACCTGAAAAATATTAATCAAGAATAGCAATCCTAAGAAATCTGCCAAAGAAAACAAATTATTATAAAAATTATTAACAATGGTCATTTCTGGCTCATACCCTGGGCTGTATTTCTAATGTCAGCCTAGAGAAGATTGAGAGCATCACCAAAACACAGGCACATAGCCACAAGGGCAAAGAAACTGATGTAATGACAGCAATCTTCAACTCAACAGGTGTGGGAAACCCTAATACCTCTACTTTACAGAACAATCATGTCCCACCCCACATCACAGAAAGCCACATGCCTCAAAGGGCTGTACAACATCCAACCAAGTGAGCAAACAGCCACTCACTCCTGGGGGTCTGTTCCCCAGTGATGCCAAACTCTGTCACTAGCATCCCGAAGGCACGTGGAATTAAAAATAAAAAAATAAAAAAAAGCAGAGCTTTGCTTACTCCTGGAAATTTGGGAAATTCTCAAGGAGCCAGAATTCAAACAAAATGAAAACTTTTACACAAAATTATGGAGTAATGTCCCATTACTCCACAATACAAAATACTTCTTCAGATAGTCAGATCTATTAGAGCAGTTTACCCCAAATCTGGGCTATTATCAAAACACTGTGGAAAATTCCTTTACCAGGAATTAATTTTGCCAATTTTAAGGTAAATAACAAACTTTCAGTGAAAGTTTTTATTTGTAAGTAAGAACATTATTTTACGTTTCAGCATCTTTATAATGCTATAATGTATAAAACCTTAAAAAGCAAATGGCAAAATAAGGCTAGGTGTTGTGGCACACACCTTTAATCCTAGCCACTTGGGAGGCAGAGATTGGGAATATTGAAGGTCAACACTAGCCTAATACAAAAAGAAAAAGAAAAACTCAACCAATAAGCCAGGTGTGGGGTACATATCTATAATCTCAGCTACTCAGAAGACAAGGGCAGAAGGACTAAACAAAAATATGAGACCTCATTGGAAAAATAAAGAAAAAAAGGCTGATGGCATGGCTCAAGTGGTAGAGTATCTGTCTAGGAAGAACAGGACTCTGAGTTTCAATTCTAATTCTGCTACCTGACCCCCGCAAAAAACAAAGACAATACATAGTATTTTTAAAAAGTACCCAACCAATGAGGACCTTTAAAGAAAAAGAAAAGAATACTCTAAGAGATTTCAGCTTGTTGATCTGTAGCCACAAAGTCCTGTTTTTTTCCATGAGATATAGTTGTGTGTGACACAGGGAAATCAATTGTTTACACACCAAATTCATTTACTTAATAGCCCCTTTAATTCTGAGCTAATATAACTGCAGTCACCTCATGAGACAGTCAATCTATACATGAACAAGTACCTTATATGGAGGGAGGAAAGGATGAAGGGAGGGAGAGGGAAGGGATAGGAGGAAAAAAAAGAAGGGAGGGGAGAGGAGGAGAGAGGAGGGCTGAGGAGGAGATTAACTGCTAGGGCCCTGGGAGTAGAGTCCAGTCCCTCTGGGCAGCTAGTCAGTTCATGTTCAGAAGACTGATATCCCGTCGCTGCGAATTGAGTTACCTCTTCCTGTTTTCTGAACTCTGCTTCCATCTGTTTGTTACGAGGCTGATTCTTTCCAATGCCATGTCCAGTTATAAAGTTGCTGCTGATATAAGCCAGCTCTGGATCCTGTTTGCCAGCTTCCTTTATCAATCTAAGAAAATCATACACATTGGGAAGTTAAATACTGTGAAGGGAAACACATTTAAACTTCTGTTTTTAAGGTCTCTATTAAAATTCATGTACAGTGTAGGGTTTTTTAAATTGGTTTTATTTTGATTTTACCTATATCTACATACCTAACAAAAGTCTTGGTCTTTTTTTTTTTTTTTTCCAGTTGTTGGGCTTGATTCTGGGCCTGGCCGCCGTCCCTGAGTGCTTCAGCTCAAGGCAAGCACTCTACCGCTTGAGCCACAGCACCACTTCTGGTTTTCTAGTAGTTTATTAGAGATAAGAGTCTCACAGATCTTCCTGCCAGGGCTGGCTTAGAACTGTAATCCTCAGACCTCAGCCTCCTGAGTAGCTAGGATTACCGGTGTGAGCCACTGGAGCCTGGCTTTTTTATTTTTTTATTTTAATCCTATCACGCTCCACCAGAAATCGCAGCCCTGTTTTGGCAAACAGATCTTAGCCTGCCAAATATAAGGCTGACTGACACTGAGCAGTGAAATGTTTGCATTATCTCCAACTCTTGAGGTGGCAATGGTGACCTAGGAATGTGGCCCAAGATGGAACCATGTTATGAGCAAAAGCACAGTCCTCACTCGCCTTGGCCTCGGCAGCTACTGCAATCTCTCACATGGTCACAGTGACACAGAGAAAGGAGGGATGATCCTGATACTCCAGAGAACACCTCCCACCCTCCACAGGGAGGAAAGCAGGCCAGCTGCTTCCAACAAAAAACAGCTGTTTCTCTCATCTCACCCAGCACCTCGTATCATGGGATACAAACAGAGCTCTTGGGAAAGAAGTGCAGTACTAATACTTTCTGTTCCCCAGGCTGCTAACCAGAGTTCAGCAGAGTATAGATTTCAGCACAACAGTGTCACAAAATTCCCACCAATCCAGTCATGAGAAAAGCTACCCAGGGCTGCAGCCCCTTCCTGCCTGCTCCTCTGTATTAACCCAGGGTGCCAGAAAACCAAACATGGCCTTCTGGCTGAGACATGGAAAAGAGCTACAGGACAGGATCACATTACACGGAGGCCGAAGGGTAACAGTTAGTGCTGCCATTACAGCTATTTTGGAAAGCCCCTCAGTGGAGAACTCAGCACACAGGATAAATGGTTCCACACCTGACTTAAATGATCCCACATGGTTTCTCTGAAGTCACGCCACACCGTATAAATTCCTAATGGAAAATTGCATTCTTAAGTCAAACCACTTTTTCTTTTTGAATACATGAAACAGGCTAATATCAAAGCACCAGGTCTCTGCTGCCCTTAATCGGTAGAACACTGGTGTGTCCAGGCTAGCTGGCGAGTACTCACCCTGTCAGAATCAGAAAGTTCCTTATGTCCCAGGTCTGTTTCATTATCACAGTGGATGTGTGGTGTCAATAACAGATGACAGAATTACGTGCAAACAAATAATATACCCTAATGCTTAAAACCTGTAACAGATCACCGTAGAAACATCATGGACTTCCAAATTTGAATGTAACAGTGGTTCTTTTGGTTGTTTTTTTTTCTTAAACAGATTTCAAATTACTTGTAACCAAAGCAAAGACTTCACCAAAATGTTCAATCTTGTCATTCCAACTAGCTGAGAAATGGAAGGGCACTCTAGTGCTGGCGTGTCTCTCCTGAACAACATGGGTCCCGCATGAAAACTGCAGGACTGAAGAGACACCACAGAGGTGATGATGTCAGATGCCACCCATCCCGCTAGCACTTAGAGGAAAGCCATCTCCCTACTGGATGGATTAGTGGATGCCCAGCCATGCCCCAAGACAAAGCCATGGGCTTTGAGAGAGTAAAACCTGCACCTGCCACCCACAAGGAGTTTCACAAAACAAATACAAATCAGCACCTTCTTGCCACCATAGAATGGCTCAAAGAAAATCTCATCTCTTGATATGAGTTGTTCCACAACAAGCCATTTGGTAAATTATCCTGTTCTCTAGTGCACAGTGCTTCTTATCCTATCTATAGACAACCAAGTTAAAAAACAAGAAAGTTCCCATGCATCAGAAATCAATATTTTTGTAAAATTTTATAAAAATGTGAAATGCTCAGATCAGTGCTCATCAAAACCAAGCAAAGACCAACAACTTCTTACAGATAAGTGGAAACGGAGGACAGGAGAGCAAGGAGCTATGATCCCTGGGATGAAAGAACAGACAGGAAAAACAAAAGAGGAAGGCAGTGGAGTCAGGCATGGTAATCCTAGCACAAGGGAGTTGTAGCAGGAGGATTGTGAGTTCAAGACCAGCCTGGGCTACATAGCAAGACTCTTGTTTCCAAAACAACTAGAAAACAGGAAGGGAAAAAAACAGCAGATCAACATAAGGTCTGAAGTGTAGTCCCTGCATTAAACAATGTTGAGTTTTCTTAGCTGACACATAGAGTGACATGATATAAGCCAAGGAGGCTGGGGGAGGACATGTGGCAATGCTAGGCTATCTTACCAGCTTTCCAAAAGTCTCGAGTTATTCCAGAAGAAAATGCTATTAGGAGAAGACTATCTTTTAGATAGAGACAGGAAGTGAACTTGGGCTAGCTCAACATCGGTATCATATGCCACTAATAAATCACGCTGTGATAAAACAAAGTGTCTGGGAGCCTTTTTTGACGCCTGACATCTGCAAATCTGGCTGGGTCACAGACTTTACGTGTCTCATTCTGTCTGTAACAGGCAGTGCTGAAGCATAGCTGAGCAACCAATAACTCCTTGAGGTGAATGGCGTGGCAAACAAAAGCAGACAATCCACACTACGTGCGCGCGCGCGTGCACGCACACACACACACACACACACACACACACACGCGCGCGCGCGCGCGCGCAGCCAATCCTTTATTTCACCAGGAGAGAAGAGAACAGCCATGCACTGTACAGCTTACACCCTCAAAAAACTGCCCCCTTAACTGAGGGAAGGAAAGAATGTGGATTTCAGGAAGTTTTTCTAAGCTTATTAGAAAGCTTACTGGAACAGGACTTCTATTGTATGTGTAATTAGCTGCCCATAAAGTCAACCCTCAGACCGCTCTAGATTCGTTCTGGAACACTAAATGCCAGACACATTTATGAAAGCTGATCACAATTAATCTGATCCTTAGAGTCAATAGGAAGTAGCTGATTGATTTTAGATAAACCTTTTTGGGCTAATAACCTTGCTATGCAAACTGACACGACTCTCCATCCACATGCATAAAGATCAATCCCCAGAATGGTGGGAAGCGTTCAGAAACCTGGAGGAAAGAAAGAAAACCAACTCTCATCCTTCCCAAACCCCTGAACATTTGAATATTTGTGCTATCCTTTATGCCTATAACTGGGCTTAGAAATGTGCAGTTTAAAAAAAATTGTTATTATGTGATGTACAAAGTGTGCCAAGATTTCCAACCCCTGAAATGCCTTTCCCTGTTCTAAGAAACAATGCATCTGCTGCCCTGAGCTACTGGCCTCCGCTTGGTGCTTCCCAATGCAAAGCACTGCCTTTGGCACTCAGAGATGCCCAGGGGGCACTGTGAGGACAGAAGGTGGATGCTGGGGGTTAGGATGTTGTTGGGATCTAGAATTATCCCTGCCACTCACTACGAGTTTAACTCAGAGCAAACCATTTTTTGTCCATGGCATTTCTTTTTTAAAAATAAAAATTAAGTGGCTTGGACGAGACAGTCATTGGGGTCCCCTTCCAACCTCAAATTTGATTTGAAGGTCATTCCACACCTGACGTTATTTTATATCATAGTCGTCGGAAGGTTCAGGCTCAATGACTATGAAAATTACCAGACTGAAAACTGCCAGATGACTACCCTTGAGTCTAATTTCCATTTATTAAAAAAAAAAAAGTTAAAATGACTAAACATTCAGAAGCAGTTAAGGAAAAAGAAATTACCTCAGGAAACAAAGCTTAATTTCCTCAGAGATCACTATTTTCAGAAAAGGCTCTTAGAGATCAACTTTGGCCAATTAATGGATCTCACTGAAAAGTACATCGTCTTTAAATATAAAATATGGACTCTTTCTTGGCAGAAAGTAATAGAGCATCCAACCCACAAACCCAAAGGACCATACATTAAGTGATCATTTGCCACAAACTGAAAGTGTAGCTCTTTGGATGGGACTACAATCAGAGAAAAATAAGCCTTCAGTGAAGATGAGGTAGGGCTGGAACCCACAATCAATGTGGACTCACTGTCACCGCTGCAAATGTTCTCCCTTCCCATTCAGTAAATGGTAATACACAATCTGAACCAAGGCCAACTGCAAGCCTTGTTGCTCCTAATTTTTTCCAATTCAGCCTTGACGACATGAATCCAACAATAAGTATGCAGGAAATCCTTTCCTCTGCACTTGAACCACAACAATCACCTCAGAAGACTTGTGACTTGTAAAGGTCTCAGGATTTTCCTGCTGCTGGCAAGCAAACAAGCCTATACCTGGTGGGTGTTTGCTAGCATAAACAATTCTAATGCTATCTACATGGAGAGACTATGAGATCTCAAAGGCCACAAGGCTCAGTCACTAAGACGTTCAATCTACTACACCTTGAGTCAACTGCTACATCGGCCACTCATCCTGGACATGCTTGTTCATCAGATGCCAATGGCAAACCCCAAGTGAAATCAGGCCTCCCACAGCCACTTCTCAGGTTTCATGAAGTTGCCAGAGTGACCCCCACCCCAGTCCTGTGGGTAATTTATGGGGGCTTCCTCAGTAAGCATGACTGATTAAGACAAGATTGGCTTCTGACGCTCAACTCACCTTCAGCCTCCTCCCCTCCACTAATTCTGTCCTGTTATTCCCAGTGACCAAATGATCCAGAAGCAATGCAGTAGTTGCTAGCCACAAACTGACTCATTAACATACAAAAGACATCACTTAAAAGATTCTAAGGATTTTAGGACTTTGCTGCCAGGAGCCCAACAATAAAAACATATAGATAACTCAATATCACAACACAGAAAAAAGTGAGCTACAATACTCAGATAAAATGTACCTAATAAGGAAAAAGCTTTGTGTAGAACGCTTAATAGCACAAGCCTAACATATAAAGGCCAAAAAATACTTGAATCTAGTGATAGAATAAAAAGCAAGCAATGCTTCACTAGAATGTAACTTAATTTTTCTATACTTGTTCTCTATTTTAGAGGAATTAAAATGTCAGTCATGTCAAAATAAGCCTTTAGGCAGAGTACCTGTTTCAATAAGCCTCCCTGACATAAGCCTCCGTGCTCAGCCTCACCTGTTCACTGAGGAAGGAACTGTGTAAATGACACTGACGTGGGCACACGCCCCCCTACAGCGACTTTTATGACCTACTGCTTCACAACACAAAAGCTGCCTTATTTCCAGTGCAAACAGACATTAACCTCGGACATTTACCTGTTTAAGACAACTGCAGTATATCTTCTCTCCACAAAAATAATTCCACAGAGAATATTGGTAAATGGAGAAGGAAAATTTGTCTCTGGCTTTTCTTTTTCTTCAATTTCTTCATCTTCATCGTCATCCTCAGAGTCACTCCAAGAAACGTAATTATCCTGATTCCTATTATTATACCACTCAACACTTTCAAACTGCTGCCGCTCATATGGTTTGTATTTGCGCAAGATCTCAAGCAGTTTTATTACTTTAGGGGTTACGAATTTCAGGTCAAGGGAAGCAGGTGAGAAGCTCTCTTCACACAGTGCATGGATTTTCCTCAGGAAAGTGTCTGTAAACAGCAAGAATTTCCGGTGCAGCTCCTCCTGTTCATGTTTGATATACTTCTGAAGCTCTCTTACCATCATCCCAGCCACTTTATCAGCACACCAGGGTCCCAGCACCACCAGCACTTCCCGGCAGTCTGACAGTATCTACAAAGAAAAGTGGAGGAAAGACAGGTGCTAGCTGATGGTCCAGCTCACTCCATATGCTTTAGCTCCTACTCCAACTATATTCTAAATGCCCCTTCCAAATCAACTCCACCACCAATAACTACCAACAGTGAGGTCCAGTCTCCAGCTTTGCAGGAAAAAGTCAGATTTTCTCTACAGTTCCATGGATCTATACTTGGAACTAGGTCTTTTTCTAACAAAAATAATGAAATAGTCATTACAAGATGCAAGGCTAATAAGGCTAATAAAATCTAGTAAAGTTAATGTTAGATCTCTGATTAGTTAGAACCACAACTGAATCCTACCCTTCCTGTCAAATTACTCAAAGAACTGGGCAGGCAGTTTTTACTTTAGAAGTTCTAGGCCTTCAAAAAGAGCACCGCATGGTGCTGGGAATGTGACTTACGGGTAGAATACTTGTCTCGCAGGCAAGAGGCCCTGGGTTTGACTCCTCATAAATAAATATAACAATAATAAAAAAAAAACTTCTTTTTAAAGACACCACAATTTTCCTTGCACTATCTGGTCTTACATGTTCTATCACAGTGAGTACTATGAAGGGAAGTACTAAGAGTGCTGGATGAATGCTGGAAGGATACCTGCCAGCAGTTGCAAAGGTAACTGGAGTACCCCAAACCCACCATAGCACTGTCCTCTGCCCACCCCAAGGGTGGGGCTCATCCTTAGAGATCAGCTAAACCAGATTCTGAGCCTGGAGCCTACCCAGAGTGCCCTACCCCCTATACACATACAACTTTAGATCAGAGCCAAGTTTTAACAGGGGAACTGCATAGCAATGAAAGATACAGTGAGTTAAGTATGGAACAAGCAAGAAACAATAGGGTGAAAAAGTCCAGCCATGCTGCTCTAGGAATAAGCAGCATGGGAGAAATGAAGACTGTATAGAACATCAGCCTTCAGCATGGATGCACACCCATAGAGTGAGGTTCAGGACTCAGTGCCTTGAAGATCACTGAGGGCTCCTTAGACCCCACCCCAGAATTTCTGACTCATCAGGTCTGAGCGGGCCCCATGATTAGCATTTCTAACAAGCTGAGAGGGTGGGACCCTGCTGCCCTAAAGGATTTCTTCCAAGCTGTACCACAGGGACAACAGGCTCATGTCCAGTTAAACACAGCAGAAAAGGGCAAAAGGCTTTTATTCCAAGTGTCTGGACAAGAACTAATTTACTTGGCCAAAAACAAGCCGGTAAACACCAGGCCTACTCTTCACACTTATATAACCATGACTGACCCCTATCTCATGTCCTTAAGTCCTGCAAAGAGGCCTATTCTTAACAATGTAAGATCAAACAGGTAAGCCCAACCTTCAACCTAATATGATCTTCTCAATGAAAGATGTTCAAGGAGACAATCAGATATATAAAAAATAGCATCACTAGAAGCATATTTCATTTCAGTATTAAAAAGAAACAATTTTGTTGACATTTTGTATTGCTTACCTGTTTTGAAATTAAAGTAGAATCTCTTTCTTTTGAATGTACAGATATATTACAGTCATTGATAAAATTAAGTGCTTCTTCTAGTTCCTTGAGCAGTCTGTCATAGAGCCCACTTCGATCGGTGAATGGTCCGCAATCTACCACGATCTCACATGGCTGAGAAGTGTACCTGCAAGTGTGTGCAGGATCACAATGGTGAAAAAACAAAGAACAGGAAAAGAAAATAGAATCAAGTATATTCCAAAATATTACCAATTTTAGAGTTTTCTTTATTACTTTTCTGCACTATTAAATTTCTCCACAGAAAATATGTTGTTGTTTTCCATAAGCCATTAAAGTACTATTTAGGAGAGAAAGGGCAAAGAGGAGAATACAACCAGGCACTGATGGCTCATACATGTAATCCTAGCTGGTCAAGAGGCTGAGATCTGAAGATCGCAGTTCAAAGCCAGTCTGGGCAGGAAAATCCATGAGACTCTTCTATTTCCAATTAACCACCAACAGGCCAGAAATGGAGCTGTGGCTCAAGAGAGAACACTAACCAGGGCAAGCAGGAGAGGGAGGTGGGAATACAAATTGGGCATCTACTACACTGCAAGAACCACAGCAGCAACCTCACATGGCCTCAAACTTTAATCCTCACACAGGGAGGCTTCTGAAGGAAATGAGAGTCCAAACATACTAAGTGGTTCTGTCTACCAAAGCTTGGGACTATCTTTTTCGGAAGGCTCTATCAGCTAACTCCACTGTACCCACTGCCTCCCCTGACACCTCGTTTTTGTTTTTTAAGTTCACAGCAGGGAGCTGGGCATCCGTCACTCATGCCTATAATCCTAACTACTCAGGAGGCTGAGATCTGAAGACTGGGGTTCATAGCCAGACCCGACAGACAACTCCAAGACTCTTATCTCCAAATAACCAGCAAAGAGCTTTAACTGGAGACATGAGTCAAACAGAATGCCAGCCCTGAGTGGGAAAGCTGAATGAAGGTGCCAGGTCCTGAATTTAAGCCCCAATAACCTATCCACACACACTACAACATTCTGATCCCTTTACATTTCTACCTAGTTTCAATGTGTATCTCCATTTGAGCCAAAAGGCAGAGTCAACCCATGGCTTCCTAGAACAGTTTACCTGTTTTTATCTATACCATGTTCACCTGTTAGGTTGCAAGGAATAAAAGCTTATCATGAGGCTGATGTTCAAAGAACTGCCTGTGTGGACAGGTTTCATTACTCTCCCAGTTTTATCATAAAGCATATCTACTTCCACACTATCTGAAGTTTTAACACCTGCAAATGTATACTTTATTTTCATTACCCTTGTAAGGAAAACTGCCACAGAATTCGTTCATTTGTGATATCACTCCTTGGATCACATCACATGACTACCAGGATAGCACATCAATATCCTAAAAACACAGTGATGATTTTAAAGAACTACAGTGATGATATTTAATACTACAGTGCTCATTTTTCTCAACCCTGATCAGAATTACATTTAACTAGAGAATGTTTTTCTCTAAAACATTGGAGAATTAGATAATGCTAAGCCACGAGTTATTAAGAAGTCATTACTTGCATACTCTAATAACTACTTCTCCCCAAGGCTCCTGTTCATATAAGCCAAACCACAATCTCGGGTCAGATAAAAGCCCAAGCATAACTTTCTAAAAAACATGTAAGATGTATGTGTGTAGATCACAGCTAGTAGAGGCTTGGCAAAATCAAAACTCATATACCCAAGAGTCACAAATTTGGATTTTGGAAACTGGTGGAGCCCAAAATGTTATCTTTTTCTTGCTCTACAAAGACCATTTCCCAAATTCCTACTAAATGCCAGAACACTGTAAAGTATTTTCCATAGCTCCAATGCAACTGGTATCATGGAATCTTATGAAACCACTGTCAGTACCACTTTCCAGGCCTAGGGAAGTGATTCACTGTGGTCACACACCTGATTATTAGTGATCATTAATTAGCTGATTATTAAGTTTGATTATTAATATAAAATGCATGCCTTATTAAACTCCCTAAAGCAGTCAGTTTTTTTTCTACTTACTCCAGCGGTCCTGAGAACCACCACAGTGGGAAACAATTAAAGTTGTTTAAACTCATACTAGAATAACGATTATTTTGATATGAGCTGAATTAGTCATATTTACTTAAATTTTGTTGTTGTTGTTGTTGTTGGTCATGGGGCCTGAACTCTAGGCCCAGGTGCTGTCGCTCAGCTCTCCAGCTCAAGGCTAGCGGTCTACCACTTGAACCACAGCTCCACTTCTGTTTTTTTCTGCTTATGTGGTACTAAGGAATCGAACCCAGGGCCTCATGCATTCAAGGCAAGCACTCTACCACTGAACTACCTTCCCAGCCCCTGCTTAAAAATTTAACTAGAGCCGGGCGCTGGTGGCTCACGCCTGTAATCCTAGCTACTCAGGAGGCTGAGATCTGAAGATCGCGGTTCAAAGCCAGCCCGGGCAGGAGAGACCATGAGACTCCTATCTCCAATAAACCACCAGAAAACCGGAAGTGGCACTGTAGCTCAAGTGGTAGAGCGCTCGCCTTGAGCTGAAGAGCTGAGGGACAGCGCCCAGGCCCAAAGTACAAGCCCCATGGCCGACCAAAAAAAAAAAAAATTTTAACTAGATTCCCTGGGTGCTGGTGGCTCACACCTATAATCCTAGCTACTCAGAGGCTGAGATCTGAGGATTGCAGTTTGAAGCCAGCCGAGGCAGGAAAGTCCATGAGACTCTATTCTCCAATAAACTACTCAGAAAAAGCCGGATGTGGCTCTGTGGCTCAAGTGGTAGAGCATTAGCCTTGAGCACAGGGAGGCTCAAGGACAGAGCTCAGGCCCTGAGTTAAAGCCATAGGACTGGCAAAAAAAAGTAACTAGCTATTTCCTTATATAGGTTCCCCTCCACCAACTTTAGCAAATTAAGAAGGTTGTGTGCATATGTTTTTCTCTAAATTACTGAAGGTCAAAAACATAACCTCCAAAAGAGCCAAACCTACAAATCAGAAGAACCTACTTCTCAGAAGTCTACAACCTATATTATAATAGTGTTTCCAAAAACTTCCAAGTAAGTTAGCATAGTGTGAGACATCTAGGTCATAATAACAAAACACACAAACACCCATCAGCAGAAAAGAAAAGTGCAGAAAAGTGATGGGTCTCAGCAGCACCAGGAACAAGGAAGAACTGACTGTGAGGCGATACAAGGGCTCATGGTGAGATGCCTCCACAAGGGGCAACCTAAGAGATGCTTTTGCTGGGTCTGTGAATTCACTGAAAGCTGAGTGCCCAGTCCACCCCTCCTTAGCATCTGTGGCTTTGAACCTTGACCACACTCCCTGCTGCATCACAAAGCAACCATCTAGGAACTGGAGGGGTAGCTCAAGTGGAGAATGCATGTCTTGATCAAAAGAGCTCAGGGACAGTGCCCAGGCCCTGAATTCAAGTAAGTCCCATTACTAACATCCATGCATGCACGCGTGTGTGCACACGTGCGCACGCACGCACACACACAGTGCTAATACTTAGAGCAGGGACACAGCTCCATGGCAGTGCTTGCCTAGCAAGTGCAACATCCTAGGTTCAATCCCCAGTACCAAAAAATAAAAATAAAAATACAATCATCCAGGGGTTTAGGAACACCTGAGATTCACCGGAAGCATCTGTGCCACTCAAGGGCAATGCCTTCTTTTTATCTTGTTTAAGAAGCCAGCCAGAAGGCCACAGACCACTCGCCAGGCCTTCAGAGTCAAAGGCAAAGCTAGTAGTCCACTGCCATCCTGTGACAGAAACCGTGCTAACTCTGAACATCTTTCCCAGCCCCAGACTCCGTCCCCATGATTTAACCTGAAGCCAATGTCAGTACCTCAGAAGACGGCTAAAAGTGTATTAAAAGCGCTGTCTTCACATCGCTGCTGTGTAGTAACTTTCCTTTCTCTGCCCTTCACCTTGTCTCTATATGGGGGTAAGTGCTGGACCTAACGTGAGACTCCTGAGGTCTACAGACCCGGTTTCGTCTCCATCTGTTTTCTATGGAATTGTCTCAATCCTTCAATTCAACTGGCCTCCCCACAAGGCACTAGGGCAGACACCTCGGATGGGGTAACCTGGGCACTAGCAGGCTCAGAAAGCCAGCAATCAGAAGCACTTACCTGTCTAAGACCACCAGGTCAGTTGCAGTCTCAGCATTACTCTTAAGAATTTTCTCCAGTTTCTGAATCTTTTCTTCCAGTTCCTCTGGGTCACATTTCCCATTTAAAATGGAGGCGGTCAGCCCCAAAATGCGAGGGCATGATGGACAACTGTCACAGAGCTAACATAATAAAACACTGACAGTGAACACTTCATTCTGAAGGTCATACTAGAAATGCTAACATGTTAAAAAATACCACAACCACTGACAAACACTAAAAATCAGCTTCTTCAGTGGAACCATCAGTACAAGCAAGGGCAGTAAAATATGACAGAATTCTGTAGTCTGTTTAAAAATCTGCTTTTCAAATGGACATATTTAGATATTCTAAAACATTATTATATGCAAATTCATTTATATTACAATGCTTAAAACAATGTGCATTTAAATAAATATTTGCTTAATTAAAATTCATTCATTCATTCATACTCTGGAATTAGGTTTCTAACAGTGGTAACTAATATTATTTTTCTTATCTTTGGGTTTTTTTTTGCTGGTCCTAAGGCTTGGACTCTGAGCCTAGGTGCTGTCCCTGAGCCTCTTTGTGCTCAAGGCTAGTGCTCTACAATTTGAGCCACAGTGCCATTTTCAGCTTTTTCTGAGTAATGGAGATAAGAATCTCATGGACTTTTCTGCCTGGGGTGGCTTTGAATCATGATCCTAAAATCTCAGCCTCCTGAGTAGCTAGGATTACAGGCATGAGCCACCAGTGCCTGGCTTATTTTTCATATCTTAAAGAAAATCTGTATATATTCAGTCATTTGATCGTGAAATATTAAATCTGAAAATGTCTGAAAAACCTACCTTCATGATTTCTCGGTACGGATGATCTAGAATTGCAAGATGACACTCATCAAACACCAAGAGGTTAATGTCTGACAGTGACAAGTAACCGTTTTTCAAAACATTCAAAGCCACATAGCATGTCATTATGAGAACCTAAAAGAAAGTAGGCATCAGTATACAAACAAGCCGCGCCCCTGCCTGGATATACTTAGATGAGAACAGATAATTAAGCCATCATATCAAAGGTGAGATTAAGAAATTCACCAGACACAATGAAAACAAAGACTTCATATGTGTACAACTTCACACAATTTGAACCAAGAAATAAATTAAGAAACCATGAGAAAAGATTATAAGAAAGAAACTCTTGATAAAGGAGACCATATCTTTATGATAAAGCTACTAAAATGACTTCAGGTTTTTCAATAGCTGTATTTTGACCGATGGGACCTGCCAACCTAGCCAAATCATAAAACAATTCACACAGTTTTGAATTATTCCCCTCTATTGAATAGACAAGCTTTTCTAGAAGACAACGTGTTCTTTTCCTAGCCTGTCATTCTATGGACATTTAAGTGCTTTATTTACAGGGGTTCACCTCAGCATGTGAGAAGCATGGTGTAGTATGGGTAGGCAAAAGTGAGTTAAGAAGCAGCTTTTAACCATTTTCTGTTTCCCAGCACCATACACATGCTGGCTACAGGAAAACACGGAGGTAACAGGGAGCCAGGAACTCAACTAACAAACTTCTCCTTTGGTACATTATCTGAAGAGTAAACTTTCTAAAAGCAGATTATTTGCAAGTTGGAAATATGTTTAGTTTTTGTTTTTGAGACACTGTCGCATTGTGGATCACAGGCTGCCCTGGAACTTGAGATCTGCACCTGTCAACGGTTCCAAAGTGCAGGGATTATAGGCGTTTACCACCATACCAGCAACTCTGCATGCAAATAAATATCAATGAAAGCCATTTCTTCCTAATGACTAACTATTCATTTTCAGATGTACCTTACAGTAAGAGAGTATAGAAAGGCTACTCCTTAGACTGAGAAAGACCAAGAAAAGAAAATCTTCAAAGCTAACTCAGATAACTGAGTCAAGGACTTGTAGGAGTTAGAGCAGAATTTCTCTGCAAGTCTTACCTGGTGCTTAGCAAACTCTTGGTTCCATTTCTCTTTTGTCCAAGATGCATTTACTTCTAGGTTTGAATATTCCCCAACCTTGAGATCTGAGTGAGTTCTGACAGCTGACACTTGCTGAGCAACCTGGTTTGCTGATTACAAATACAGTATTTCATGTAAATGAGAAATCTTACCTCATTGGCTCTGCACTATGAATGATTAAATACAGCTATGAACATCTTTATTACTATTGTATCTAACCACCAGTTCTTTAAATAGCCAATTTAAAGTCACAGTTCCAATGTCATCCTCCAAGATGTACTTAAGACTTGCCACTGTGTCTTCTGTCACTCATTCCAGAGACCCTCATATTACCTAGCCCCCTTCCAGTAGGTTTGCTCCAACTAAGACCGTCCCTTCTGGGTGAATGCTCTCAGTCCAGATCCACCCCTCCTGATCCCTTCAATAAAACCACACCATCCACCATGAAATCAGACAGTCTCATATAACAAAGCACAGAGCCATGCTGAGAAAATCTTTAAGGAAAGGAGAAGAGACCATGGTTATTTGAGAATCATACAGCTTAGGCTCACAGCTTGTTTTTTTATTTTTTTAATATAATACTAAATCTATAAAAAATCAGTAAACTTTCACTCAGCATCTAACATCTAAGAAATATCTAACTTCCTTTTATCAAATGAAGTAGCACAATCATAAATCCAAAAGGCATCTATTTCAAAATCAAGTACCTTCTAACAATGTGAAGCTACAGAATCAAAAATAAACTTGACTCTTAACTCAGGTCAACATAACTCATTTGAGAGAAATACAGAATCAGAACGATGGGAAGAAGTACTATAAGGAAATAAAATGGTACTTTAAGTAGCAGAGCTTCAACTCTCTTTATATTCCATGATTTAATAAAAAAAAAAAAAACCAATCTGCTTAAGTGTAAAGTCACATCCAATTTCCTCCACAGAATTGGATAAAATAATTTTTTATTACCAGAGTTGACCAAGAACACAGTCCTTTTTCCTTTTCGGTTGAAGTCTCCCCTGATCTGATAGGACAGCTCTTTAGTAAGTAGTACTGCAATGAATGTCTTCCCTGAGCCAGTGTTTAGACACACGATGGTATTGTGGTCCAGAGCTGCTTCGAGCAGTTCAACCTAGAGATAGAGTGAAGACACATACGTCTTACCTAAGTACAACACCAAGGACATGGGATTTGGTTTAAATTAGGAAATTACAATGTTTTCTAAAATGTTTAGCCAGTAACAGACAAGAAACAGACAAAGAACAACTTTCTACACCTACAGGAGAATAACACTCGGAGGAATAAACACCTGCTGTGGCAGCTATGCAGTTATTTTGAAACAGCATTTGTAAGTTTTTCTTCTTAAGAATGACTTCCCGCTGTAGCAGGAGGGACTAAACTCACATCAACTGTGGTTCTACCAGATCATGTCTGAACAGTTTCAAAGCAAACCCAAGTCCTATCCGACTCACTGCAACTGACACACCCAAACGCACGTTAAGACGGCCAGGTTTACAGTGAAGGATAAAAATAAGGAGCATCACAATACACCTAATAAATCAATTACCCAGCAGATGTTAGGAAAGACAAGGACTATTAAGACTAAGATTTTGAAGGAGAAAACCGAAGAGGGAGGCTGGAAAGAGTAAATGAGTTTTATAAGCCGAGTCAACTATATGCTTATTTATTCTGTTTTAGTGAAAAATGCTCCGGTATTAGTATTTTCATTAGTACCTGATATTTTCTTGGCGTATAAATGTTATCATGAATTGCTTCTTGTTGCCAGGGCAGTCCAAAGAAAGGACCCATTGGTGAGGAAGCAGGGGTCATGAGCTGCAGGCCTGCCATGCTGAGGGGTTGCAAAGCAGGGCTTTTCATTCATCCAGTGTTTCTTTCATTGCATTTTTGTTCTAGCACAGCTTACTACAAAGGGAAAAAGAATACCATTACAAAACCATGCAGGGTTAAAACAAAAGAAAGCACAGAAATAAGAAAAACATCAGACTATCATTCCTAGGGGTTTTTCAAATGCTTCACAGTTGCTCTAGCTTTCTCTTGATTTAAAAGGATTGCTTTAAAAGCCAAAAAATACGGTATCTAGCCAGTCATTGTGCACCTGAAATCTTGCCTACAAAAATGAATCAGACAATTGCACAAAGATGAATGTACATGAAACATGTTGCTGCGTTATTACTCAGAAACAACTAAAAAAAATCTATGAAGAAAAATCTGCTGAATAGATTACGGTATACTTTAAATAGATTATGGGATATTTTAAATCTATTAAGATGCCTTCCTAAATACACATGTATATATAAGTATACAAAATATATATACATATATTTTTGTTAATTCTATATTATTATCAATAATGACACAACACATAAAAGCACTTAACATGGTACCTATACATAATGAAAGATTGGAGCACCTAACCTATGAAATTTCATCAAAGGCCATATGAACATTGACAATCCACCAAATTGTACAACTCATCAATTATTTTGACATGAAAATTTGATATGTAAATTGTTGTGTAATTATGTAAGTTATTATTTTGATTGTAAAATATACAAAACAGGTTGTTCAGAAAATAAAATCTGAGGACTGGGAATGTGGCTTAGTGGTCAAGAGTTGGCCTAGCATGCATAAAGCCCTGGGTTCAATTCTCTAGTACCACATAAACAGAAAAAGCCAGAAGTGGTGCCATGGCTCAAGTAGTAGAGTGGCAGCCTGGAGCAAAAGAAGCTCAGAGACAGGTCCCAGGCCTGAGTTCAAGCCCCAAGACTGATTTAAAAAAATAAAAAAAGGAATTTTTCATATTATCTAAGCATTTCTCTGTAGTTCACAGGTTTTTTCCCCCCACAAATGAATTTCATTTTGCAAAAGAGTAAAATAAAAATTGAGTCATTCAATTTAAAATGCCTAATCAGAACAGAGGACTAGGGCTTCAAGTTTGAGTAGAAAGTTAGTTACCAGCTTCCCTTACTTGCCTCTCAGATGTACATTTTCTCCCTTCAAAGCTTGGCAGTGCATACAGCCATTATTCTGGAAAAAATCCAGCTCTTTGTTGCCTGAAAACCAAAAGATCTGACTCTTCCTGACATGTTAAATTTACAACCAGACACAAAATGGGGTTAAGTTGCTGAATCTAATCCATCAAGCAGTCTCAAGGAGTTTCTTCATGCATAGATCCACCACCAATTCCAGAGCTTGCTTCACTGAAGCAGAATCCAGCAAGTGCTGTAGCAAGGCGATCATCTCAGACTCTTCCACCCCCACAACTGAGCATCTCGGCCAGACAGCCAACCGTTATTCTTGTGGCCCTCCTCAGAGGAAGGAAGGATATACACAAAGTCTGGCAGAATACTTCACAAGAAATGAGCCATTATTTTCCCTGGATCAAAGAACCTATGTTCCTCATGAGAAGTAATCTGCTCATTTCAACAGAACCAAAGCCTTTCACCCCACACCTGGCACCCACATTTCCCAGGTTCTCAGGACTGGTGGGCTCATGGCACTGGCTACTTTTTCTCTCAGCACAGCTGCCAGGAAGCTCTGTGGAGAAGTCTAGTTTATGTGGACTTCAGGTTCAGTCAACAGGCTGCCCTGAAGGTCCAGGACTAAGGGGGTCAGCCATTCACTGACTTGGCTACCCCACACCATTCTCAAGGTGCTGATCTACTTCTTCACAACCACAGCTGCTCGCTGACGGGAACTGTTCACCCTCAGGCCTGACCCTCTCATTTCTCACTCAGCACACATGCTTAAACCAGATCTATGATGGAGTAGAAGCCTAAGCCCTGAGGAATGAGCACAGAAAGGAGAGAAGAGAGGGCTGTGATGTAGATGGCAGCACATCTGCCCACTTCCTATGCCCCAGTACATCCAGGGACCAGCAGCACCCCCCTCCTACAACTGTCTCCTGTTCTTCTCAGGTTAGGATAAGAATTAATTTCAGAAAAATAGTCTTCAACATCAAAGAGAAGAAAATACTATTGTTTTAAAGAGGAGGGACTGTCTTTGTTATAATTTCCCTATCATAAAGTGCAAACAAAAAAGGATGAAAATGTTCCAAATTTAAAAAGGCCTTAAGAAGCATGAGCATGAGAACTAAACCTAATACTTGACCTCAGTCTGGATTTTGCAGGAAAAGAGAACATCATCATATAGGACTTTTTTCAAGGTGACATTGACTGTCTTAAAGGTGGAGAGAGCAGTGTTTTGATGTAAACATGCACAGGAAACATCTCTGTATATAGCTTCCATTGTCTGGTGTGGTGTGAGCAATGAATCCACGTATCTGACACACACAGCATTAGTAAGCAGGGCCCACATGTTATTTATATGGTAGACCTCTGGAGTTAACTCATATGTAACTCAAATTTTGTACCTTTGATCAACATCGCCCCACATCCCCAACTCCTGCCCTTGTAACTGTCACTCTACTCTGTCGGTAGGAATGCTCATTTTAGATTCCACATGGGAGTGAGACCTTACAGTATCTGTCTTTCTGTGTCTGGCTTATCTCACTTCCATGCTAATCTATGTCCTTCCTTTTCAGGACCAATATTCCAGAGTATGTTCATCTGTCTATTGACAAAAACTTTGGTTGTTTCATTATCTTGGCTACTGTGAATAATGCTACATTATACATGCAAACTCAAGTACTTCTTAGATACCAATCTCATTCATAAAGGATATTATTGAAAGCATTTTTAAAACTAGGTCTGGGGTATGGGTCCAATGGTAGGGCAGCTACCTAGCAAGACCCTGAATTTGAATCCCAGTACAGAGGCGGGGGGGGGGGGGGGGGGGCGGCAGGGGGGAATGTTCAAACAAAAATCCCTGTTGGTAAGAGCACTGTTGGTAATGGAACTGAAGCTAAGTCAAAGAATACACTTATTCTTAGGAGATATACCCTAGAATGTTTGGAAATAAAGGGCCATAATTAGGAACTTACTCTCAAATGATTCAGAAAAAAAACCTATATGAAGAATTACTAAGAGCAAGAGAGAAAAGTGGAGGCAGAAGAGAAGGAAAGGAAGGAATAAGCCAGGAGAGGAAGAGAAAAGGGGAGGGAAGAGGAAGATAGGGAGACAGACACTGGAAAAGCACATTAGGCTGATGGGTAAAGCACACATTTGTTGTCCTTTTCTAATTCTTGCAACATATTTTTTTCACTTTTATTCCTGTGCTTGTCTGCTGATAAGACATGCTATTGCTTCAATGTCCTGGCTATTATGAATAATGCTGAACTAAACCTCCAAGTAACAGTATTCCTTTGAGATCTGATCTTATTCACAAAGAATTAGTTAGTCCCTTGTTCAAATCCATATTATCACTGAAATAACTACTCGTCACTGGGCACTGGTGGCTCACACCTGTAATCCTACCTATTCATAAAACTGAGATCTGAGGATTGTGGTTCAAAGCCATTGCTGGAAGAAAAGTCTGTGAGACTCCAATTAACTACCAAAAAGCTGGAAGTGGAGAGGCAACTCAAGTGGTAGAGTACAAGCCTTAAGCACAAAAACTCAGGGACAGCACTCAGGCCCTAAGTTCAAGTCCCAGGACCAGCACAAAAAAAAAAAAAGAAAGAAAGAAAGAAAGAAAGAGGGGGGGAGAAAAGGGAAAGGAAGAATGAGAGAAAAAGAATTCATGTCTTACATATCCACAGGCACTACATCAGTTGATTTTGTGGCTTCCTCAAACACTCACTTTGTATTTCTTCCAAAGTAACAGTAATTCCCCACTCTGTGTATTCTCAGTCCAACAGCAACCCACTAGACCCAGTTTCTAGCTTTCTGCTATCTGCCAGTCACCCAGACCCAAGCCCCTGGGTACATGACTCTCCCTTGGCTTGAGGAACTGGCTCATACTAATCCAATGGCCAAATGCTCAGGATTTTCATTTGATAGTTGAGAAGAAAAAAAAAAAAAAAAACTCTTTCCTTATGAACATGGGTCAGGAAATAGCTCCATTTGCTGTTGAAATTACCATCATGAAAGCACCCAGGCTTAGGACGAAACTAGCACAGTAGATAGCACACATAAATAAAGAAACTGGGTTACTGGATCTATCAACCTCCAAGTCCAGCATCACATTGGTCTTGAAAATGACATGAGCTCATAAATTCCCTTATTACCAAAGCTAACTGCAGATGAAATTTCTGCAACTCAAGAACAAATGTATTCCAAGTGATACTTTGTCATTATCACTTCCTGTAAAAGGTTTTAGGAAGAAAAGGAGAAAAAAAGAAAAGAGGCAAATAGGAAAAAGAAAGAAAGAAAAGAGGGACAGAGAAAAAGAAAAAGAAGCCAGGGATAAGACAAAAACAAAAGCTACCAGAACAGAAAAAAAAAAGAGATAACATGCAAGCCCCACAGCATGACCCTAAGAGCGAGTGCCGCACAGCTGGAAGCCCAGTGGGCCGATGAGGGCTGTTCCCCCCACACACACTTTCTGCGTTAGGTGAATCATTTTTTAAACTTCAAAGGAGCAAAGGCTTATTTCAGAAATAAATGGGGAAAATCTGGACAGTTTTCCCTTGCTAGTGAAACAAGAGAAAAATGACTCTAATTGGAAAACAAAATAAGAACACAAAGGAAAACAGGATGACCCAGGGAAGCTGGTTCACATTCTAAAAGCAAACAACAAGCCTTGAGCCCCACTGCTCAGCAGAACCCACACACCAACTTCACCCACGCGGGACCGTCCTGGTGCGGGCCTGCAGGCCAGCAGGGACAGGACCTGAGATCGGAGTAGTGAAGGTTATCTTACTGACTGCCCAGGCACATAGCCTGAGAAAAGAACCGGTGCAAATTAACTCACTGACTGTCCAGATTATACTACTTGTCTCTCAAAACATGCAAGTCATTCCCCCCACGCTCCCCCTTAGGAATAAGACATTTCACATACATTTCCTTAGCCCACAATCAGCAGAGTTTGATGGAAAGGGCAGGTGGCTGGCTATTAAGAATCAATTTGAAAATTAAAGTGTTGGAAAGAAACATCAAACAACAATGGAAGTATACATTTATCAGCATTTAGATTCTACATAAAGGAAATAGAAACAATGTTATAAAAGGAAATATCAATGTAGCAAAACAGAAAGGAAACATGTAAACTACAATAAAAAGTCAATGAAGATGGCATTGGTGGTTCGCACCTGTAATCCTAGCTACTCAGGAGGCTGCGACCTGAAGATCACAGTTCAAAGCCAGCCCAGGCAGGAAAGTTCATGAGATTCTTATCTCCAATAAACCACCAGAAAACCAGAAGTAGCGCTGTGGCTCAAGCAGTGGAGTGCTTGACTTGAGTTGAAGAACTCAGGGACAGCCCCTGGGCCAAGTTCAAACCCCACAACTGGCCAAAAAAAAAAAAAAGGGCAATGATTCTATCAGGTTTTCAAAAATGCATAAAAGCAGTAAAACAAACTATTACAAGGTAATTTATTAAACAGAATGCTATTAAAATTGGGAACTCAAACACATTCATCTGTGATCATATGGTCCCAAAGAAGCTTTAAACAGCCTGGCACTGGTGGCTCACACCTGTAACCCTAGCTACTCAGGAGGCTGAGATCTGAGGATCGCAGTTCAAAGCCAACCCGGGCAGGAAAGTCTGTGAGACTCTTATCTTCAATAAACCACTAGAAAACCGGAAGTGGCGCTGTGGCTCAAGCAGTAGAGCGCTCGCCTTGGGCTGAAGAGCACAGGAACAGCGCCCAAGCCCGGAGTTCAAGCCCCACAACCAACAAAAAAAAAAAAAGGAAGCTTTAAACATTATCATGTCCTGCTCACAATTATGTAACCCTGCAATCTCTATCCTCTCCTGACTGCGATCATCTGCCCAGCTTACCAGACCATCCTTCCTACAATGCCACTCATCGCTACATCACACATCATCTCTGCCAGCTACAGGCCTAATACTCCCTAAATGATCACCTAAACATATTCATGCCTATATTTTTTTTTTTACTTTTTTAATTTTTTGGTCGGTCGTGGGGCTTAAACTCTGGGTTTGGGCGCTGACCCTTGGCTCTTCAGCTCAAGCTGAGCGCTCTACTGCTTGAGCCACAGCGCCACTTTCCGGTTTTCTAGTGGTTTATTGGAGATAAGAATCTCATGGACTTTCCTGCCTGGGCTGGCTTTGAACCACTATCCTCATATCTCAGCCTCCTGAGTAGCTAGGATTATAGGCATGAGCCACCGGCGCCCAGACTTTTTTTTTTTTTTGGATGCCTATATTTTAAATCCTATGTGCTCAATCCCATTCACCAATCTGTAAACCCAAGTATACGTCTGCAATTTTACAATTCTTACTCACATAATTTCTTTTAAATCTTGACTCTTGCTTTAAAACAATCCATTACACTAGGATATCCTTGAATACAGGAGCTACGTCTTGTATTTAGCCTATCACCCATTATACTGAACCAGTCAGAATATGATAAACAAAAAATGCAGGTTTAGGCTGAGTGCAGTGGTTCATGAAGCCAACCCAACCTTGTTGGAAGATGGAGATAGGAAGACCATGGTTTGAGGTGGGTCTGGGCAAAAAAATGTCAGCAAAACCTCTCAAATAACAAGCTAGATATAGTGGTGCACACCTGTAATCCCAGCTAAATAGGAGATATAGGTAGGAGGATCAATCTGAGGCTGACTTCCAGTAAAATGCACGGGATTTTATTTAAATATACCTAAACTATACCTGGAGGCATGGTAACTCAAACTCCAGTAATAGGGGAGGGGGGGAGCGGGTATGTGGAAAGAAAACATCACCTGAATGACAGAAATAGCTTCTAGTTGTCTTCCATAATTTACATCATTTTACATATACTCACACAGACCCACATACATACATGCTTTATTAGAACACAGACTCCCAGAGAAAAAGTCATATATCTCATTCTTCTATCTCAAACTTCCCATTGTAATGTTCAATATATACATATAAATGAAACCAATAAGTGAATATCTACACAGTAATGTACTGTGCAGACTCACTAGACAGCTCAATATGTATTTCTAATTGGTCTGGAAATACACTTTCACTTCCCTCCTACCAGTCCTGACAGGTAGGTAGAGCAAAGAAGATTCTTTATAAGGAAATGAAAGACAACAGTTTAACCCTCCCAATTTTATTTTCCATAAGGTTGTAATATTTAAATTAATTTTCAGTATACATACTTTCTCAGTATACATACTTTCTATGAAGAGAAAGCAAACTCAAAATGTTTAAATCAATAGGTAATCTAATAATGTAAAAACAGAAGCTTATGATATTTCCAATTCCACATTCTTTTGGAACTTTTAACAGATCTCTTTTAACATGGCCTTAGTGAAAAGCTCTGAATTCCTGCTGGTAGTAAAAGTTGTACAGTTTCACAGATGAACTGACTGTCGTTAACTGCTCTGGCAGTCGCTCCTGGTGACTGTTTTTCCATTGTAGGTTTTAAGTTTCTGGTCAAGTAATTTATAGTCATGAAACTGATGAAGCTGTCTCACAGCTTCCACATACTGTCCACTCAGAAATACATGACAGAGCAACTGTCTAGCATGTGCAAGGCCCTGGTTTGCATCCTGGGTACCACAAAAACAAGACAAAACAAACAAAAAGAGAAATAACTTAAGACACATAAACTCTCTTTCTCCTTCTACACATGGTAAAACGCAGCTTTACCGTTTTAGTGTTTGAGGGCTCTGTGTTGCTGTTGTCTGAACTGCATTTTGACATTGTGATAGCAGATTATTGGAAAATCACAGCATGCCCAAGCTTCTGCTCTAAAAATAAATGCAAAAATAGTCAAGTATAAGACTCCTGTAAACTCAATACACACACCAAAGAACCCACTGAGATGAATAGCTGAATAAAAGGCCATTATTTTGTATCAAATTTTAAACAAAAGACACCATATCTTACACTAACACAAAGAACAAGAGAATAAGCGGCAACAATAGCATGCCTAACTTCCAGAGGAGGCCGGACAAGCCATCAAGAGAGGATTTCAAACGGAATACAAAGAACTCAAAATAGTACATTTTCAAAAATCACACTTTATTGAGCTTTAGAAATAGAAAAAGTTTAAAGTATTATGCATTATTCCTATATTTACATTTACAGATAAAATAAAGAAGGTAACCAGTAGGGGTACTTGGCTGAAAATCCAAATAATCTTGTAATAATCTCATACATGCATGAAATCTACCAGCAATCCCAATTTCCCAAAACAAAGTTAAAAACAAATTAGGCTCTCTTATAGAATTATTAGTTTATGAATTAACGAAGTTCAAGAACACAGTTAACAATGCTAGTGTTGGGGAGAAATTCCAATTGGGAGTGCCTCTCCTAGATGAGATCATAGAATATTCCTATGGAAAAGTAGTGATCTGTTAGCCATGAGGCAGACTTGTGTCCCTGCTCACTGGAAGTTCATGAGGACACACGCATCGGTAGTGGTCTCCTCTCACCTGGCTACTCCCAGACCTTTACATCATTACAGATGGAAGATTCTCACTTCACACAACAAGTATTCTCCTATGATCTAAACAGATCAGACTGGGATACCCTTCACACTACTTTAGTATATACATATTTACCTCAAAATGCTGATTCTAAGTTCTTTCAGAGTTTCCAAGTCTGTATTAATTCATACCCTAGGTAACCTAAAAACAATCAGAGAGAATATTTTAGAAGAGATAATTCATTCTTTAAAAACCAATCTTCAGAAATTGACTACTTAATCAAACTTTCATAGTCACCTTATCAGGATTAAGGTCTCATAAAATAATTTAACAACTGGGGACAAGAAGATAGTACATTTCTGAAAGGGCTATTGTTTAAAACTAGTACTGCATCATAATACACTGAGGGAAAAAACTTGTTAGTACAATCCAGTCAGATACACAGGAGAACTCTTGGCATTAAACACTCTTGGCTTTAAGAATACTCAGCAAACACTGCAGTACATAAGCCACCATGCTTCACAGGACACATCTTCCCATATCCCAGCATGTCCGTGTGCATCTCCTAAATTAGCTACCTCACCAAGTGACTTAAATCCATTTCGTATTGTCCTTTGGTAAGAACAAAGAACAAGGCCTAGAGTGTCTTACTCTGGATTATCCGATAACTATTGCAAAATTATCCAATTGTTTCCCTAGGCAGTAAAGTTTATATCTCAGAAAGATAACACAGTAACTATAACAGTGGCTTATTTATGTTGGTAATACAAAGCCAATAAATGACTTTGTAGCTTTTATTCATAACCATGCCTTAAATTACAAATCTGAGAGATCCTGTTTCATATCCTTTAAGATAACTCTGAAATAGACAAGCTACCTACCTGATGTTAAGTTTTAGGCTAAGTTTCAATACAAGCCATCAGACAACTCCTTTACCATCTAAATGAAGTAGTATTGTGTATCTTTTAAAGACCAGTAACAAGAACCTTCCAGTGTGGAGACAGCTTCCTAGTATGAATGTTCAAAATGAATGAACAGAAACTTCTAACCTCATCCATTTCAGCATGTGACAGATTCTGACGTAATTAATTTCCAGGTAATATGATCAATTTCAACCTATCCTCAAAAAGTCCTATGGTAAGAGAAACACATGCGCGTGCACGCGCGCGCGCACACACACACACACACAATGAACACTCTGCTTTAACTCCAACACACACACACACACACACACACACTATGAACACTCTGCTTTAACTCCAACAAACATCCTACTAAGGAAAACTAAAAATCTAACTCCAACAAACATCCTAAGGAAAACTAAAAATCTTTGAAGGTCTTAAGTTCCTAACACCAAAAGTGTCCTGGGAGATCCAAAGCATTATTTTAACTGTGACTAAGCCTAGGTCACTGAAGGCATCATGCCTATGGACAGGTTATATGGCAGAATGGCAAATACAAAGTAAAAATAAAAATATAATTCTCCCTATTGGAAATAAGGGGAAGAAAACTCCCTTTTCCTTTTCCAGAATTTATTTTTTCTTCCCTGACTTCAGTATGCAGAACTGTAAAGCTTTGATCTCACAATTCTAGAAGGAAGGTATCTTCAAGTACCAGGAAGGTGATACACATTTCCCACTTTACTAGCACAGGAGGGGCCTAATTTGTCACCTGAGTCCAAACCGTAAAACCTGCCACTGGAGAAAGTCAGCAATTGTATCTTGACAATGGGGATGTAATGATTACAACCACAGCAAGAGTTAATTGAAAGAGCCTTTCAAAATGAAGTGGAAAGGCTATGAAGGGAGGACTTAGCCCCAGTGCCAGCTTGCTGCTATAGCATGAAAAGAGCAGGATGTTTTTTATTACAGTGAGACCATGACAGTGTCTTAGTTCAATTCTAAAGAAAAGGTCAGTAATAGAGGAAGTAGAGGAATATTCACCCGATTTATGTCTGATTCCTGTGTTGAATATTTCATTTTCCTTAAACCTTTCTGCATTTTAAATTATCCTACAATTCAGAAATGTATTAGTTTTAGAACTGGGGAATAAAAATCCAAGCTATGAGTGACCTTTGTGAAGACAACGGTTTATAGAGATATGATTCTGGGTTAATTAAAAAAACTTCCTGAGGTTGGTAGAGTGGCTCAAGTGGCATAGTGCCTGCTAAGCAAGTATGAGTTCAAATCCATATGGCCAAAAAAGAAAATTTAAAAAGAAGGCTCCCCTCCTAAACCTTTAAATGGTAAATTATTCAACATCTGTCATGTAAACCACCGATTCAAAGCCCTTCTGTCCACACATTCCTCTACGAACTCAACAAACTTCTGGGGTTTTCCAAATCTGTAACATAAATGTTATTATGTTTAGACTTCAACATAATCATGCCTAAAATTAGATTTATCCAAAAGTGAAAACGAACATAAGTCAAATACCATTTTAACAAATTCCATCCATCAAAATCTCCACATGGAAAAGATCTCCATATGGAGATACTTTATTTTATCAAAATAAATAAAAATTTACTTTATAAAAAAAAAACGGGCCCAGCACTAATGGCTCACACCTGTAATCTTAGCTACTCAGGAGGCTGAGATTTGAGGATCACAGTTCAAAGCCAGCACAGGCAGGAAAGTCTATGAGACTTTTGTCTATAATTAACCACCAGAAAACTGGAAATATCATTGTGGCTCAAAGTGGTAGAGTGCTAGCCTTGAACAAAAGAGCTCAGGGACAGTGCCCAGGCCTTGAGTTTGAGGCCCATGACCAACAACAACAACAAAATGTCCCAACAGGAAAACAGCACCAACACCCTCCTCCTTCCTCTAGTGACCCACAATGACACAGACTGGCCAGTTTTGTTTTGAGATAGGTTAAGTACTTAACACATCACCAGCTTTCATGGTAGGTTTTAGGGTTAACACAATTCCAAGTCTCTGTACCTCACTCTTCAGCAATAAGTTGTAGAATTTTTATTCAAGTCGTGATTATCCTTTGCTCATCTTTTACACCAAACAAATATCTACATGGAAAAGGAATTCCATTTTCTGTACATTAAGACAGGGTAATAAGAAAAATACTAACAAAGGACTGATCATCCAAGAACCACCTAGAGACCACCTAACCATTCCAAGTCCAGGCAAGGGGGCCAGCAGAGCCTCACAACTGCTGTGCCACACTCCCTATGTCTGCCCTCCTCAGGACACCACAGTGCCCCCAAGAGAGACTGAAATTGGGAGGAACTGGGGTCAGGCCAGTCCAGTAGAACGTATGAAAGATTCTCCATAGGAGAGAAGCTAGAGGTAGTGGCTCCCACCTGTGATCCCTTTTAGAACAGGAGGCCTAAATCAGGCTGGTCACAGCTCATGCACACTTTCCCCTAAAAATAACCTATCCCCGAAAAGTAACCAGCAGAACCAGCATGGCTCAATGGGATCACCCCAGCCTAGCAGGCTCAAGACCCTGAGTTCAAATCCTAGTACTGCCAAATCAATTATTTCTGGTAAAACATTCAATGTGTAATAAATGTAACCAGAATGATAGAAAAAAATCACCATCACACTAGTAACTAAGGTAAGTGTCATTAACAGATACCAAAACTATTGAATAACGATGACAAAAAGCTTACACACCTCTGAAAGTCTCCCTGGACAGATTACTTGAATAGTTAAAATTGGTGTTTTTCCACTGTTTTACACAGTAGAAAATCCTGGAAACTCTAAGATCAAAGTAACAAAGATCATCTGTATTAAGAAAAACTGGCATGTATCTCATGTAACCTTCCTGCCACAGGAGCATAAAAAACAAATTGAAGGTTCATTTTACAAAACAGTTGGCTTGAATGCTTCCAAAATGTCAGCATTATAAAAGACACAAGCTGAGAAATTTCCAGAGTAAGAGAATAAAGTGGCCTGACAGCTAAATCAATGCACAATCCTGAACTCAGTCTGTATAACAACTTCTTCCTCCAGTGAAATAACAAGTATTATTTTAAGAGAAATTGTTATTATATACATAGTGAAATAACATAAACAAATACAGCTAAAACTACAATAGACTGTTCATAAGCATTTTTGCCAGAGCATGTTACTTAGACAAAGCACAACTTGTATAGTGTGTGTGTGTGTGTGTGTGTGTGTGTGTGTGTGCGCACGCGCGCATGTTCTCTAGGGCTAAAAGTTGAGAACATTTCTTTGTCATCTGAAAATACATCACATATCAAATTTGGTTTTTTGGGTTTTTTTGACAGTCGTGGGGCCTGAACTCTGGGCCTGGGCCCTGTCCCTCAGCTCTTCAGCTCAAGGCTAGAGCTCTACCACTTGAGCCACAGCGCCACTTCCAGCTTTTTTCTTTTTGCTTATGTAGTGCTGAGGAATCGAACCCAGGGCCTCATGCATGCAAGGCAAGCGCTCTACCACTGAGCCACCTTCCCAGCCCTCATGTCCCAGTTCTTAACCCAAGAATGGTCTTACCAGGTCCTAGAACCCTCAAATATTCAGCAACAGAAAGCTAGGGGTTTACATAAACTTGGTAAATTCTCCTTCAGAGACCTATCATATGTCAGTGGAATTTCAGTCTTCTAAACATATGGCAAAAGAAAGCACTCTTCTGCAATGCCTTCACATGGTTGATTGAAGAGGATTGGACTAAGAGCACGTATTAAATAGCAGTACAAAATCAGTTCTACTCGTTCTATTGGTCAGACATTCCCCCTGCTCAAAATCCAACTCAGTGTTACTTCTCTCTCCACATGGCACTTCTTTGCCACCACCTTAGGGTGTTCTGTTATTTCTATCCAAGAATTCTGCCTTGTCCTTAAAGTTCTCCAATTCTGATTGGGCTAAGATTACTTCAGAATTCTAAAATACACATAAATGAAGAATTAGAATTTAGAGTCTCCTTTTTTTTATTCCGCCTTTAATGTATAGGTATACAATAGGCATAACCCTGAAAAAATGGGTGGTAGCAGTACAGTAGTATACACATTCCCAGGCTGGGAATGTGGCTTAGTGGTAGAATGCTTGTTTAGCAAGCATGAAACCCTGGGTTTGACTCCCCAGTACCACATACACAGAAAAAGCCAGAAGTAGCACTATGGCTCAAGTGGTAGAGTGCAAGCCTTGAGCAAAAGAAGCTCAGACAGTGCCCAGACCCTGAGTTCAAGCCGCAGGACTGGCAAAATAAAATAGACAACCCTAGGTGCCTACTCGATGCATCGCTCAGTGGGTTCCTGTCCCTCTGCCTTACTGACCAGGTGGAAAGTTTTGAAGGATTCTGTCAGATTTTCCTAAGCCAACAAAACTACACTGATCTAGAGGTGGAGACAGAAAATTCACCTGTTGCTCCCAGATCTGATCGCCCCATGCAAGCCTTACTTCCCAGGGGTCTTACCCCCATTTCCTGCCCAGAACAAGTTAGGACTCCACCCTGCTCACTATTTTCAAACCTCAGTGCTTGAAAAGGCATTGACATCTGCACGTTTCCACACTCAGACTGTACACACTCAGGTGTCCCTGGACTATATGGGCATTCCAGAAATTTTTGACCGTAAGATATATAAGACTTACTACATTTTTCTCATTATACTTATGAGAAAATTAAAACCAAGTCTAGAAAAGTCCAGGGCAAGTTGTCCTTAATCATAAATTGAGTTTACTGAAATTCAAACTAAAATAAAACATAGATTTCTTTTCAGGGGGAGGGACAAGTCAGAATCTCACTACATAA